AAAAAAAAAAAAGGTATGGATATAAGGGGGGGGAAGTTTAATAAATATTTATAAACAAAAGGTATAAAAGGGAATAATGAAAATGAGTGATCCAATAGCAAGAGGGAAAGGGGAAAAGGAAGCCCAAGAAAGTGTAGTAAATAGAAAATAACTTATGATGATAGAAATAAGTCCAAATGTATTAGTAATCACAATAAAGCAGCAGATTAAACTTTGTTAAAGGTAGACAGACTCTCTGATTGGATTTTTTTAAAAACCAGCTATATGTTGCTTATAACAGAATTAGTGTGTGGGAGTGTTTACACGTAAAATAGTGCTTAGCAAGTAGTAAATACCATGCGTGTTAGCTGTTATTATCACCAAAAGAAGGTGTGAATCATTCTCATTAAATAGTTGGGAAAATAGCCATCTGACAAGACAGCTGAAGTATCTATCTGTAAATAAACAATGAAACTCTATAATCTTTGTAGAGCACTTCCAGGCACAGAATACTGCTATTAAATAAATCTAATATATAATCATGAGGGGTACACTAGCGATTTGGGGGCTGCTGAAATATACTATAGAGGCTAAATCATACTTTGCTGATCTCACAAGTAAAGTGTAAAAGCCTCTAACATGTATTTTACTGAGTTTAGCCCTAACTCCCTTTGCAAGGAAGTTAAATGGAGGAGAGAGGATATAGCGTTAGATACAATGTCACAAAAGTGTATTTTCAGAGTTAAGAAACTATAGTGTAAGCACCGCATTTTGGAATCTCTAAGTGAGTCCTATAAATTCTGGTATAGAGGCAACCTAAATTATGTGATTAAGTGCAATACTTACTGAAATTGCTAGGCTTGGAAAAGCTGTCAAAGGTCCCAAGGGAAGAACATTTAAGCAACAAAAGGGCACCAGACAGATGAATGTTCCTCAAAGAAACTATATCAAAGCCTCAAGAAAAGACTATTCTGATATAGAATAAAGATACTTAGAAAAAACTTAATGGGTTGAACTAAGTGCTGCATAATGACCCAAAACACAAATGGAAATTCAACACAAAGTGAAAAACTAGGCCAGCTTTCTAAAGGGAGCACAAAGAATATATATATTTAAAATTTTATTCTATTTCCAAAAAGGAATTGAAAGTTTGGGGATTCTTTACGTTACAAAGAAATAACAGACACAGGAGAAAAACCAGAAAATACCAAAGGGAAAACTAAGTCATAGTTGGCAGAAAATATGGAATCCTTTTAATGAACAAAGAGGAATAAAGACTTAGAGTTTCGATATGCATTGCTTAATTAAATAAAGTAGACACTCTGAAATCCACAACTGCTGACAATGACCTTAGCAAAGCACTCACACAAAGCCCTTTGCTGCCAATACCAGGGAGGAAGAGGCTCTTATCTGTGGCTAGGAAATGGACCTGCTATTCCCCAATTTACTGTATTTATTTCCCCATACGTCTTCGGCCAGCAATACACACGTCAACCAATAAACTATTCATGGGTCAATCGCCTACTATTTACTTGGCACATTGCTAGGTGCTGTGGGAGCCAAGTGAAATATAAAACAAGATCCTGGTGTCCCGAGGGAGTTTGTAATAAAATTGACCCGGCACCGGAATGATCGAAAACAGAACTCTTAAAAAGATGCAATCCACGAGAGACAAGAAGAGGGAAGACGAGAAGGGGAATAAAAAACAGACTGATCCTGGGGAGTGGCAGGGAAAGGGAAACGGCTGGAGCAGGTAAATCCAAGTTAGGTATAATTTCAACAGGCAAGGGCGAAAAGGTAAAGAACTGCAGACAGAGGGGGAACCATGAACCCAGTTCCAGAAGAGGCACACTTGGCATGTATGCTGGAAATAATGTGTGTGCACAGGCAACTGGTACTGCTCCTGGCACTGGAAAGGCATCCAGGAAGTATTACAGGTGCCATCCTTTTATGGGCACTGGGCTGGGCAGGGTGGGTCTCCGAAAACACCCATGTAACAGGAGCTGTGCAGCACAAGGCTGCGTCAGTTAGGGAGGCCAGAAAATGCGCAGAGGAGCTTACACCGTTTTGACGGAAGAGCTTCTGAAATAGAAACAGCACAATTAGAGAAGACCTTTACCAGTCAAAGTTCCCCGGGTAAGAATACGTGAATAAGGTGGATGAGGACACACCATAATGCTTTTATTTGACAGAAACTGCCATACACCAGAAGCAATATGTGACACGGAGTGTTATATGATGGAAGATGACTGACGGCACACTTGAAAACATACCTTCTCTCAACCGTAGCTCACACCCAACTGACTGCACTGAACTTGTTGAAACTTGTCACACACTGTTACCGAGGTTTGATGTACCGCTTCCCGTATTGAAGGTCCCTGGCTTTCCGTCGGATGGCATGCAGCAGCAGCATTTATCGTATTTTGTGATCACAACAGGAAAAGGCTCCATGTCACACATCGCTTCTAGTACAGCAATTTCTGTCAAAAACATTACAGTGTGTCTTCATCCATCTTATTCAGCAGATCTGGCACAGTGTGATTTCTGGCTCTTCCCCAAAGTCAAAAGACCATGAAAGATAAATGTTCTGAATCAATTCAAGACATCGAGGCAGCCATGACAGTGTAACTAAAGACACTCACAAAAGAGGACTTCCAGAACTGCTTCGGAAAGTGGCAAGAATGAGGAGATAAGTGTGTTCAAAGCGAGTGGGGAGTATTTTGAGGGGGATGAATGGCAATGTGTCTTTTACTGTAATAATTTTTTTTATTTAAACATTCACTATATTGTTTGATCACACCTTGTATATTGTCTCCCACTAAACGACTGCAGTTCCATGGAGCAGAAGCTGGATCCGCCTCTGCCTGGATTTCTGTATCCCAATATCCAAGAGAGGAAAGCCATTCTAATACCTGATGAAGGGTCCTCTATTCTGGTTCCCCTAACAACTTCGCACTCTCTTTGGGGCACATCTATTTCACGGTGCGAGACATCTCTCTTAGGGTCTGGCTCGATGCAACCTTATTGCTTTAAGTTTTTTTTTTGTTGTTGTTGTTTTACTGTTGCTATTGATAATCCCTATCTTCTGAATAAAACTTTTACTTCTATCTTGATGCCTGGGCTCTGCTGGAACCAGAAAGCTGGATGGGACCTTGCTGAGCCCTATTCATTGCTTTCAGCAAACAGAAGTTCATTACTTTGTCACGTACTCTTGTCGCATGACCAAATGACCTTAGTCCAATCTCTTTCCTTTTTAAGGGATGAAACTGAGGTCCTGAGAGGCTGAGTTGCTCTTTGATCTCAGTCAGCTTTAACCCCATGGCTATTTAGTCTCTCACAAACAACCAGAATCAGGTGAAATAACAGGCGCTCTCAACATAATTAGAGCAAAGATCACACATTCAGAGACAAGAAATGGGGCATTTGCTACACACACAAAGATGTAAAATGTAAGGTATCTAAGGAATCGGCTAAGTTAAAAGAGAACGAGTAGCAATTATTTCTGAGAATGCAAGGAGGATTGGTGAGGTTAGAAAAGGGTGACTGTAGCTTTTAGCAGGCCCCGATTTCTCAAGTTCAAAAGCAGCTGTCATTTGGTCTCTTACACTGAGGCCTGAAAGGCAGCAATGTATAGCGTCAGGGATGGAGATTTTTGTATTTGACGCTCCTGGCTTTATGGTGGTATCTTTTCCTATGTATCGGCATTGTTATTTCTAATGTTATCATCGCTACCATCATTCCATCCCAAATGCTAATCTACTACTGGTCCAATCCCTGAGATTTGTACCTGAACGGCCTGTGTGCTTTCGTAAGGTGCATTCGGGTCATTAGTGTGTCCAGGTAGCCAGAGCAGCTCTGAAGAACTCCAGGACTGAAGATTCTAAAGCGGCTGAAGCAGGCACAAAATTCACCTTTGGGGATTTGGGGGGCTGGCCAGTGAGCTCTGGGATAGACAGCAGGGATGATGCCGGGACCATAACACTTGGCATATATACTGGGATTCGTTCCTCATCATCCCATTTACCCTCATTTTACAGATGAAGACTAAGGCTCAGAGATGCCAAATGCCTTGTTCAAGGCCACAGAGCTAACAAGGGGCAGAGCTGAGCCCAGGTCTCAATTCTCAAGCCATGGTTCTTTCCTTTATAACGTGCAGGCCGCGCTGGATGCCCAGACTTAGCTGCCACTTGTGCAGATAATTCTCCCTTCCGAGAGCTCAGCAGCCATTAAGAAGTATAGCTGTCAACTCTTGGTTACTTAACAAGTACGCTTCCAGTCTCACCCTGAGGGAACTGGTTAGTGAGCCAACCCCATCGGCTCAGGAGACTGTTACCAATTACATCAATTACCAATTCATGTCTCACAACACAGTCCTGATGATATCCTGCTCTCTTTTCATATTCTACCAAATT